AAATATACACTGTATAACTGTATGAAAAAAAATGTTGTGATAAATAAATGAATTGAATTGAATTGAATTGAATTGAATTGAATTGAATTGAATTGAATTGAATTGAATTGAATTGAATTGAATTGCCGCGCATTATTTGAGCGGCGCGGGAAAGGTAGCCTGGTACTAGCGGTAGTGGTACTGGTATAGACCAATAAATTGTGCCCTAAAAATTTTTATATTCTGGTGTTATTTTAGGGTAAGGGTAATAAAAAACACCTAAAATAACACCAGAATATAAAAATTTTTAGGGCACAATTTATTGGTCTAGTACTGGTAGGCCTGGCCCTACGTACGTTATGGCATGCCATATATGGCCCTAGCTCTAGTACTATAGTCTATACTATAGTACTAGTAGAGCTACCATGGCCCTAGCTCTAGGCCTGCGGCAGTTATTGAGTTAATGAACGCGGGCTATAGTACTAGAGTCTAGAGCTACCATGGCCCATGGTCAGGTTCAAGGATAGAGAACATGTAGCCCATTGAAACCTATGTCATTTTCTTAAATGTGGGGGTAGCCCCTTTAAACTCGACAGGGGTACTGGTGAGGGTGTTCTTTGTTCATTTCAACCGATAAACATGATGTGAGTTAACAGGAAGTGTCGAAAAAAATGCGTTCAAGGGACCCTACTCGCCCGTTTTCTGCCGTTTCTGACCATTGCAACGCGCGAGCATTTCCCGTCACCTTCCGCTGCTAGGGCCCTGAAATCTATCTTCAAATTTTAGCTGAATTAAATTTAATTCCATTAACTGACTGGCATTTATCCAAAACGCACCCGTCTACGCACGATTTTTGAGTTAGGATTTTCTTTGAGGTCATAAAGGAATTTTGCCAATTTTTCAACACAAACATAACTTAAAGTTAAGGCAAGTTAAGGCACTGTCACTGAGGCTCATTGGGTCAAGGGTCTATGTCCCCCAGGGTACTATCGCTGATAGGGTCTGTCTCCCTGGGTACGGTCTGGTATACCGGAACGTACCCTAGCTGGTAACTATCTGATATGGGTTAGCATAACGAACCCTATAGACTCGTTAGTAGAGTAGGCGAGGTACGGTCCGGTATATTAGATAGTACCAGAGTACATTCCGGTATACCGGACCGTACCCAGGGTACGTTCTGGCAGTACCCAGGTAGACATAGACCCTGGCAGCGGTACTATCGCCGTATTGGAGGGTACTCTGGGTACGGTTCGATATATCGGAACGTGTCCCTGGTAACTATCTGATATGGTTACAGGGTTCTCCCCAGGATGAAATTGAAACAGGGGGGAGAGGAGGGGGAGGGGGGAAGGGAGGGGAAACGAGGGGGACCGGGGGGCGTGTTTTTTTCACCGTA